CGTGGTTAAATTCACGGAGAGGATTGCTGTGTTGTGCTCACACTCCTTTCCTCACTTGTGCCTGAATGGACTGATCATCCATTGGGAACAATGCGTCCTCGTGATGCGATTTGGTCTTCGGACCCTTGATATGCTTTTGGGGCATTTTGACTTTCTTTTGAATTATCATTTGGCGTTATAAATTGTTTTTGAACTTGTTATCTCATATTCATTGTTTATTTATATTATTATCCGTTCACTGAGCATTAAGCTCAACCGAGATTTTCTTGTCCTCGGCAGRTACATGACTTAGCAGGGATTTTGGGATGAGAGCTACGGAGATAACAATATTGAAGATAACTCATTAAGTCATACTTTTGTTTAAACTTTTGATGACTATTGTAGATATACTGATATTTTGGGACCGTATTTTGAGACACGTTATCTCCGTTTGTGGTTATGTAATTATCTTTTGGTAAATTGTATTAGCCGCTCTGGTTTATATAGCACGTTGTGTTTATCCCAATTGTGGCATTTTCCGTCTTTGACCACGCGGGACGGGGGTGTTACAATAACTCTTGCTTTTTCTTGTCACTCGGCTGCAAAGCTTAATCTTGGAGATTGTTTCATTTTCTTGTGTTTATAGGCCGATTTCATGAAGGAGCTCCTTCGTGGAAGATTTGCAGAGGAACGTTTTCCACCTGAAGTTGTAACATTGTATCACTGGCAGGTACATGTTTTAAGATCTAATATCAAGCAGCCACCTGAAATCTATTTGATAGGAACGATACCAAATCATGTTTAAGTTAATCATGTGAGAATGACAAAAACATTAGAAATCCATGAGAACCAATCTCAATGTACTGTTTCACAATATGAAACGTTTATGTGTATTTTCCTTTTTCACAAAATGAAACAACACGAGTCACTGGTTCACAATCCTTTTTAAGGTTTTCATTTGATTATGCCTCTGATGTATATATTGGACATTGATCTGACCATCAGTTGTCCGATGAGCAGGTGACTGTTTCCGAGTTGCGGCCTGTTGAGGTACTTGATTCTAACGATGAAATAGCATACAAAGGGTTGTCAAAGCATTCAGTGAGATGCTTGCGATGCCATGAGATTACAAATGAAACCAAACCAACTCAAACCATTTGTTGCACAATATGTTTGCAGGTTCCATTTCTCCTGAAGATCATTTGATTTTTAGTTTTGAGTGATTTAAATTTGTATGGAAAAACATGCAACTCAAAACTCCTATTAAATGTAGAAGTTCGGAGACACAGTATTTTTTCCAACACACTTGTATAAAAAACGAGATACATAATAAGTCGTTTTTATCTTGATACGTAATAGACAAGCCTTCAAGATGTTTTATTACGTAAAAACCCAAATCTTGCAACTTTCCAAAAATGAAAATGTTGTATTTTCGGAAAGCTGAAAATTGAAGAGGCACTATGATCGAATGTCAAGCACGAAGGTTGCTCGAGAAGTTGGGACGTTTTAGTTCCAGATCAATTAAGAGAATAGGAAAACTTTATGATTAAGAAGGGCCAAACAAGGATCAAGAGGAATAAGGCGAGTTCCACAAAGATCCGTGCATCTTTGGTTTTTATGTAATTAAAATGTTTTTTTATAAATATGTAATTATAGATAGAATTCTCTAGATATTTAGGGGCTGTTCACCAAACGTTTACCCGGATAAGTGTTTAACTGCAAAATACAACACTATCGCGTACTGGGTTAGATTTTAGTGAACCAAAACGATATTGCATGCAATAATTTACCCGGTAAACGTTAACCACGGTAAGAGTCGTTGCACTCACTTATCGGGTAAGACTCTCGGTCATTGCATTCACTTTCAGGGTAAAACTTTTTTGGAAGTATATAATATTTATATACGGCAAATGCAACAAATAAACTCACACACCCTCCTCACCTATGGTGAGGTTTGAACCCCTGACCTCCTAAAAGACCAAGGGCTACGATACCGTTAGGCAAAAGGCCCTTTGTTTCCTTGCCTTCACTCTTACCGGGTAAGATTATTGATCATTGCCATATTCTTCTGGTAAGGTAATATGATGTGGTAAGCGCTTACCCATATAAACAATTGATAAACAACCGTTAGAGTAGTACAATATTACAAATGGAGAGAATCTCTCGTTTGAATAATAAAAGAAAAGTTCTTTTGAGCCTTTTTAGCATTATTGTTTGCTCATTTTGTTCAGTATTTTCATAGTTTCACACTTTGAATGACCGAGTTTGAAAACCAAGACCACATGCAAGCGTACGAACGAAGATAACTCCGTGACAATATCCTTAGTAAATATGGAAATCCCTCGAAAAGTACCAAATAATTATATTGTTATTCCTCTTTTCCTATGTTTTTATTAAACATATCGATAAATTATAATTGCAACATTTCAATTGATTCTATTAAAAATTTGTCAGTCTATGTTTTTAGACTCAAATTATATGAATCAAACAACCGATCAGACAAATTCTAATCAGACGTGTTACTGATGCACCCAAAAAAAAAAAAAGACTCAATAAATCTCAACCAAAAATAGAATGTAAGGAGTGAGATGTAGTATCTATGAAGTTAAATTTGTGAGTTTGGTCTCTATGCGCAATTTCTTGTGGTGAAGAATAACGGCCAAGAAAAAAATGTTGGAATTTATATCAAATAGCTTTCATAGCTCAGTTGGTTAGAGCACCCGTTTAGTAAGCGGGAGGTCTTGAGTTCGACTCTCAATGAAAGCATATTTTTTGTAGTTCATTTATTTTCTGACCTTAGGGACTGAAACTGTAAATATTAGTTTCTGCAAAACTTATCCTTCAGCTCTGGGAATTACAGCAAAACCCATATAATTCTTTTAAATGGCATTTGATAAAATTATATGATGTTTAGGGGGTCATTTGGTTTGCAGAATGTTTTTGAATGAAATGAAATTTTTCAAAGGAATTTTACTTTTAAGTAATTAGAATGAAATGTTGTCAGGTTTGACCACCTGTTTGGTTGTCAAACATTAGAATGGAATTTGTTAAGAAACTGTAATCTCTCTGTTTGGTTTATAAAGGAATTGGAATGGAATAATGAAAAATGACCTAAATACCCTTTCTTTGTTATTTTTTCAATTATAAATAGTTATTAATATAAAATTTAATTGGGTGAAATCAAATCACTTATCAAATATTATGGGATAAAATTGTATCGTAATTGTTAAATAATTGTAGAGAGTGGGATTCATTAATTGTGGTGAGTGTGTGGATAAAGTCACCGGAGGAAGAAATCGTAAATCAGAAATCGATCTTCATCGTCATCTTTGTCATCAAGTTCTCATCGTAATCATCACTTCAAATGCGTAGTCTCAAATCATCTTCATCATCAACTTTTCATCGTCATCTTCACTGTGAAGGAGTCCAGAGGAAGAAATCGTAAAATCAGAAATCAATGGGCGAAGGAGTCTTTGACAAAATCATGAAGGGGTCCAGTGGAAGAAATCGATGGGTGAAGGAGTCACAGAGGAGGAAATCGGTCGGTGAAGGAGTCAGCGGATAGGGTTTAATGGTAAAGAAATCGATCTGTCGATGGAATCCAAACTTCGATCATGAAGGAGTTTAGCAGTTAGGGTTTTATCTTTCAGTTAGGGTATTTTTGTCATTTTTAAAATACTGGTTGGAATGGATTTAAATTCCATTACTTTTGGAAATGAATGATCAAATCCACATTGAAGGGAATGTTTGGAATTTAATTCCATTCCATTGGTAACCAAACGTTGAAATGAGATTTGGTCAACGGAATCAATCATTCCAATTCTATCAGATTCCGTCGGAATCCGACGAACCAAACGCCCCTTTAGAGTCTTACAAACCTTGTCTTATTTTTCGTAACATAATTTATGAATGTTCCTGTAGAAATTAAAAGAAAAAAATAATAATATCATAACATACGTTAAAAAGTTATTTGTACGAACAGTAACAATATTAGATAACGTCTTGTGGTATTTTTATTTTCGTTTATAAATAAAATCTTATTTTTGGTTTATTCATTTTCTTTTTGTGCCATTGATTAAGAACATTAACAAAAGAGGCATTCTTACCAATTTAAGAATAGTTTAAGAATATAAAGAAGATAGCTAATTTAAAAACATCAGAAGTTACTATTAATTAAATAAATGGTTTTTCTTTAATTTGGTGGATTGCTAAAATTGCACCAAGCAAATTGTTGTGGGTATAAATCCATTTGTATATATTTTCAAGAATTTATGCACTTAAAATCAAATCTAATCTTATAAATCTTCTTATCTTAATCTGAATATTCATATAAATTATTATTTTTAAATATCTGTAATAACTAATTATTCTTTATAAAATAGGAAAAAACTCAATAAATTTTAAATTATTTTGGAATTTTTATAATTTTAAATTATTGATATTAACGACGTACGAAAGATCCAATGACCGAGTCTAGACCTAGACCAGACTTTGAAGGACATAACAACACTTAGGCCAAGCTTTTAAGACAATGTTTTCAAGCCAAGGGCCAAATAGGACCAAACCTAGGACCTAAGAGGCTCAGGCAAAGGCCTGCCAATGATCGCCTTTCGTTATCCAGACGTGTGCATTCGTTTCATGAACGCAAAGAAACCATTGTTTACATAAGTCCAGACTTTCAAATCTACTTCTGCAAAAGCAACACGAATATTAAATTTTAATTCGGACATCGACATCGTTCTTTCGTAGAGCAAGGGAAACATCTTATTCCTATTTCAGCGCTTTGAGTCCGTTCCAACTCTTGAATGGGCTCGCATTTGAGTGGGAGTCTCGTGACATGTAAATGTACATTTTTAATTGTCCTGTAAAATGGTTAGAGATGCGTCCTTATTCCAAAAATAATAGCATTTTAAAAATATATTTTAGTGAATAAAATAATCAAAATAAATAATCGGTCTCATTAAGCTCGAATTAGTCATGATGTTCTATTACTGGACCCGTTATGGATTCAGACTAATTTTCTATTAATTAACTACAATGATTTACGTAAGATTTTATTAATTTATTTGTATATTTGATATACAATTAAACAACATTTTGAAACTCTATACGTCATATAACTACTCTTTGATGAGACATAAAGAGCTACAACAGACAAAAACGAATGCAAACAAACAAAAGTAAAGAACGGAACTGTAACTAAAAATGTCAGATTCAATTTTTGATGCTAGATATTTTTAAATTGGTTTCTTTGTTTTAAACAATGTTATTTATTTTTTTTTAAATTAACAAGGCTTAAGTCTATTGGTTCACGACTCAATCACTAAATCAAAATTAAGCTGGTCTAACTTTCAGAATCGTATAAATCTAGTCGAGTTTTAATATGATCTAATTTGGATCAGATAAAGAGCCAATAAGAAGTAGAGGAATATTCTTTTTTGTAAATTTCAAATCCTCAAGATATATGTAATTATTAAAATCAATTTTTTAAGTAAATGTTATTTCCATAATTCTTATATATTTGTGTCATCGATGAAGAAGGACCGTGTGAGAACAGAAGTTAATATGGAAACTATAAGAAGAGATTTAGACCATTGATCACTTTTAGTCTCAAAACAACCCATAAATTTCGTTCTAAAAGAAAATTGATCTGATGTATCTCATTAGTTTTTTCCTTCAAATAATCAAAGGCTTTACTTAAAATCAATCAATTTAATAACTTTTTATATAATTTTTTTACAAGAAATCAAAAAAAAAAAATATTATCAAAAATCAAATCAAATCAAATCACTAATAGAAAATTATTGTATAAAATAACCATATAATATAACTAATTACCTCAATATTGATTACAAAAATAAGCATTGATTATTTGTTGATCATGTATATAAATTGTAAGCATCACCCTGTTTCAAGATTTCAACATCAAACCCAAGCCATCATCTCCTTTTCATCTTCACAAACAACTTGTTCTTCCCAATTATTGAGTTTTCAATCATCAAGTTTCAATAATTCCAGAGGCAATCCAAATCAATTGGTCCAACTGAAGTCGATGGGGCTTCTTGATCTTCAATTTCGGTTCCTCTTTTACCCTTTTCAAGATTCGATAGAGTCTCCGTGTTCTTCGCTGAGCTCAGCCCTGTGTCCTGTGATCCTGTAATCATCTCCATCTCCATCTTCAATCCTTGACTGATTAAACTCCTCAAGATTGCTTGATCATGAACTGGAAATGGAGAACCCGAAGGGAATTCATGGTTCCCTTGCAAAAGGAGATCAGGTTGGCCTTCCAGCAATGGATTGGAATTGGAAATGGAAATGGAATTGGAGTTGGAATTGGAATCGGAATCAAAAGGGAAGGCTGGATTATTGAGGAAAGTACTGATCATGGTTTTCTGGGTTGTTTGGAATTCGATCGGATTGGAGAAGCAGGGTACCTGCACTGAAACAGATATGCTGGAATTGGTCATCCTGCCGCCAAAAGCCACCGGTGATTCCATCAATGGTGGCAGAGAACCAGCAACGCTACCGGAATCCATCCTCGATAACCCAGAAATGTGGAATTTCTTTCCCCCTGAAGTCTTGTGAAACACACGACAGATCACCCATTCGTTCTGCGATCCAAAGTAGAAAGAATCAGGCACAAAATACAGAGTATAAAACAGGGGAGGAATCAATGATCAATTATCTATACCTTGGCTGATTTTGGCAAGTTTTGCAGACTCAATTTACCCTCTAATCTATATTCATGAATCACCCAATTCGTCTTTTCCCCTTTTGGAGCTCTTCCCATGTAAAAAACCAAGGTTTTCTTCATCCCGACAAGCGATCTCCCCCGGAAGATCTCTTTATCTTTTCCGGTGGCTTTCCAATAACCAGCAGCAGTTGCTCGGTTTGTCCGTATTCCAGTCGGGTACTTCTTATCCCTCACACAGAAAAAATACCACTCCTGTTCTCCCATTTTCGCCAGCCCTTCAAATTCGAAAACACCCAACATCTTCAATGGATATAACTTGTAAAAAGATAAGAAACAAGAAAGATACAAGAAGTAACTCACTAGGCAATTCCCATGGCTCGACTCTGTTCATATCCACCTCTCCAATTGCTTTCGCAAAGAAGGTGTTGTTGACGACTTTATTCGACAGATAATCAGTGATCAATTCTTCATCGGTCGGATGAAATCGGAACCCCGGAGGCATGTCCATTGGATCCTCCTCTAAAACCCTTGAAAAAAGATGAAAACTTTAGCCAAAAAGTGAGGTTTTAAGCCAAGATTTTGTATGGGTTCTTCACCAAAGAGGTTGGAAGGAAGGAAAGTGGATATATAGGGGTAGATTGGTCATGGGAAATCATTGAACAAGTAGAAAAAAAGCAGCCATGAAAGAAGAGTAAAACCAAAAGATAGTGTAAGCTGAAAGATTCAGAGGTTTTAAGGAAAAAAAGAAACAGAATGAACAACTCAAATGCTTGTCTGTGGGCGTGGGGTGGGGGAGGGTAGATGGGGCATTTTGCCATATTCTCCTCCAACATTTATTTACAGGAATGGTTCTTTTGACTAAACACACTCTATTTTTTAAACCAAATTAATTGTATTATCCCTCAGATTTAATGATGGTGAATGAACCTACAATTCTTACTCTTCTTCTACAAAAATTCATGTTCAAATCCAAGAAGGAACAAAAATCCTCTTATGGCCACGGAAGTTCAAATGCGGTGACTCCGGACTATCTGCAAAACATGTGGTTGTTCTTGAATTAGTCGGCTCACATAAAGGGTTTGTGGCTTTCATGAATATTTTCATGTATTATTTTAAAGGTCGAGAAGAATTTGGGAGGATTAAATTATAGAAATGTCGTATTCGTAATAAGTTATAAAAATACATTTGGGTATTTTTAATAATTAGATTATTTTGAATTTCCAATACTAACCCTGCCTCCTTGAAGTCAAAAACCCAAATTGACCACAAGTTTTTTATTTTAATATATGTTAGTTAAAAATGGTGTATGGTCCACATTAAGCATATATTAATTTTAAGACATTTTTAAATCTAAATGAATTATAATTGTTACATAGGATCATAGGAGTAATAAAACGTTCATAACGTAATTAATTTAAGTATATGTTTCTAATTTTAAAAAGGTTGTTTTTAATCTTTTTTGGACAATTAAAGAAGGTACACTTTTCTTACGCAAGATTTTTGCCTTTTTTTTTCCAATAATAAATCAAAGTATTTAAATTTCAATCCCTTACAGCTAGAAGTAGGGATGCTAAAAAACCCGATCAATCCGATCAACCCAACGTAAAATAACTCAATTCGATGCAACCTGATGTCTAATCGAGTTGTAAAATGTTCAAACCGTAAGTATTGGGTTGATATTGGGTTACTATTATTTGAACCCAATCCAACCCAACCCGATATCTTTTTATTTATTGGATTTAATATGATTGTTGAGTTTATATTAATATATATGTTAGACGATTACACTATCACGTACCTCTTCATATATACATGTTTTCAATTTATTCTTCATCTCTATATAACTCATTCGTAAGTTGAATCATTTCACAATTTAATGGTGTTGAGAAAAAGATGATCTTCTAGAGTAAGTTAAATCATTTCACAATTTTTCTGAGTCTTTAGCAAGGTTCAAAAAGGCGTGAGTGGCGTGACGACGAGGTCCAGCCTTAAGCCTTACACGCCATGGTGATGACGCGTTTTTCAAGGCGTGACATAAGATGACAAATGTATATGTCATATATAGAATTATATATATATATATATATATATATGTTTTCTATATATTATCTAATCAAATAATGATATTAAAAAAATGTATATTCATATTAGAAGAAGAAAAATCATATAGATTATTATTATAAAATAAGTTTTTGATTAAATATTTTAAAATAGAACTTAGAAAGGTAATTTTATTACTTCATTTTACCGTGAGTCTATAAAGTTTATGAATTTGTGAAACTGTGAGTGATGTGATTAGTTAGATCTATAAAAATGTAAAATCTAAAATTAAAAATGTAAAAACACAAATGATTAAAAATTAAAAAAATTAAAAAGATATTTTTTGAAAAAAATCACGTGTTACAAAAAAATGCACGCCGTGGCGCACCATGGTGCGCCTCAAGACATCATAGCATAAGCCACTCCATACAGAAATGCTATGAGCCATTTCGTAACGACGAAGATGCGGCTTGCGCCATATCGCGCCATAACACGTCTTTTTGAACACTGGTCTTTAGAAGATGAAGTGAATCCAAGCCCATGACTATTACAAGGGATTTGATAGTCTAAAAGTTTTCTATGGTCAATTGAAGTCTGATTCCAACTTTTTATAGTTGACTTTTCTTTTGCAAGTTCTTTTAATAAAAAACGTTTTTCATTGTTAAGATATTTGCAAAAGATTTTCAGATCTTCCAACTCATTTTGAATTTTGTTAAAATTTTTGAGTTGTTCAAAGCACTCAAACAATTTAACAGTTAATTCATCTACGTTGTTTTCAGCGTTTTCTTTTGATTCAAGAGCCTTACACATTTTCACATACAAGTATCATAAGAAGAAGGAGAGGGATATAGCTGTTTGTTTAAGGGAAGATGTGCTTCACTCATTTTAGATGAAGATTCAGCTAAATGGAACTTGTCAAAATCTTTTAGCTCTGAGAGATGAGCCACAAAACACATGTTAGCTTTATCTTTCTATTCATTGTTAGATGAAAAAGTAGATTATATCCGGTCATGTTCTCCAGCCATCATACCCTTATCTTTTCTCTAAGAGTTCTTGGATTTGTATTTGTCTCCTTGTTTTTCACTTCTTGCTCCTTTATAAGAGGGTTGCGAGGTATGAGATGTTCTTGAAGAAAATGATGAGTTTGACCTTTTGGAGCTGCAATCGACGACAAAGTGTCCTTTCTTTTCACAATTGAAACACACATCATTAAGTTTATCATGAGGAGACAATGTTTGATGGATGAAGGATGGTCGTTTTGAGAACCTTCTTTTTGCGCTCCTAGGAAAGCTGCATTTTCTAGCTACTATATTGAAATTTGAAGTAACTAAAAAAAGATAATCACTAATGTCTTGCAATGATAAACCATCGGTCCCATTGTCAGAATCTCTGTTGGGACCAAGAGTAGATATATTATTATGTTCGTCAGAGTTTTCAGAATTTGTGTCATATGATGCATGTTATAGAGATCCTACTCTTTTAGACTTAGAGGAAACAAAAGAAATATTTGTCATCTTTGGTTTCCTAAAATACATTTTTCCTCAGTACTTTAGTTTGCTAAAAAATATATAAAGTTCTATATAGAGCAGTTAATGACATGCGATGAAGATCCTTAGAGGCTTTCAAACAAACAATTATATTTTCTCATATGTCAGGTAAATGATCCACAAATTTTCAAGATAATTCAGTATCATCAAAAACTTTATCATGTACTTTAAGATCATTTAGAAGAGAATTGAACAAGTTGTAGACATCTTCATTCTTGTGACATACAACTGAACTTATCAAGCGTCAAAAGATCCCTTAAAGATTCAAGATGGCCGAATTACAAGATCAAAATCGAAATAATCAAGGAGGCTTTAATGAGCTTAGTTGTAGAAATTCAAGCAAATGCATTAAAGTCCAACGAAGATTTGCATGTAACACATGATATTATGCTTATTGGAGCTTTGGATAATTGAAGGAGTTTAAAAGAAGCATTTGTGTTGAAGATTGCAAGTTTTTGGGCCACTTGTAACAACCCACATATTTCATATACACATAATTCACATCATCATACTCATAAATACTGAAAACAGTATTATTACAAAACATGGACTAACAAAAATGTATTTTTAATACATATACGAACAAACTATTATCAACGTTTAAACTTTTCCCTTGCCTTTATCTTGCAAATTACGCTGACCTGCAAAACAGGTTAGTTCAACAACTGAGCGTTAGACCAAAAAGGTCTAGTGAGTGTATACATCTCATACAAACATTATACATTCCAAACAATCAGTTTAGAATCAAACTTGTTCTGAAACATAAGCATATTTTATGTTTCTCGACGTTACACCGCCATTACATCTCTCTCACGGTTACACCGCCATTTCATCTCTCTCGCGGTTACACCGGCATTACATCTCTCTCTCTCTCTCTCGCTCGCGGTTACACCGCCATTACATCTCTCTCGCGGTTACACCGCCATTTCATCTCTCTCGCGGTTACACCGCCATTACATCTCTCTCGCTCGCGGTTACACCGCCATTACATCTCAAAAACATTTCAAAAACATTCCTTCTTTTTATCCGGATTTGAAGTCCGGTCAATCTTGTCCGGATAACAAGTCCGGTCAAAACACTTTGAAATAAATTAACATCTTTATCCGGATTACAAATCCGGACAATACTTCACTTTCATTGATAACCGGTTTGAAGATAAACCGGACAATACATGGCCCAACCATTGACCGATTTAAAGTAATCCGGTCAATACACCGTACAACACTTGAGCGGTTTAGATGAATATCCGGTCACCTCTTGGCCGGTTTAGATGATATCCGGTCACCTCTTGGCCGGTTTAGATGATATCCGGTCAAGACACAAGCGGTTTAATTGTCCGAATTTCAATCCGGACAACACTTGAACGGTTTAAGCAAGAACTTCTCATAAAATATAACAAAATTCATGAAAACCAGTTCCAAATGCTTATCAAACTGTATGTAAGCAATTCATATTCAAAGCTCTTAATACACTCACCTTTAGAAATTGAATAACAAAGCTTTTGAAATCCTCTTCTTCCCGTGCAATCTTCTTGATTATTCAGAGCAAATTTCTAAATATGGTATGTGTGTGTATCTCCTTTTCTTCACAAAATCTATTTATATATAAATAGAAAGAAGGAGAGGTGATGGGCGACTAATCTAGCCGACCTCCCCCTTTTTATTTAAAAACAAATAAATTTTTTAATTTAACACCAAAATATTACACACATATCTACATAATTGTATACATATATATATAAATATATGTATAAACTTGCGATATAACCAGAATATTACACCACTTCAAAGAATAAAACCGTTAACCATTATTTTGGAGCTCAAATTGAACCATTTCCTTTATCTTAAGTTCTATTTGAACCTAATAAACTTGAATTGAAATCTAAATCCATTTTTGGCCTATCTTAAAATTAGGTGACCAAAATTCTTTGAATAAGGATATAAAGCATGTCTAGATTCATGAATTAAAGGTATGTCTTTAATTCTTGATTGAAATTTAAGTTTTAGCTTTAAAGAGTATTTTCGATGACTT